CTCAGCGGTACCCACCACATGATCCGAAAGAACAAGTACTGCCCGAACCTGCGCAGGGCTGCCATCTGCAGAGCCAGCGCCATCCTGCGCAGCCAGAAGCCTATGATATTAAAGAGGAAGCGGACCAGGCCCACCAAGAGTGCTTGAGCAGGGGCCGGGGAGATGGCTCAGTAGAATAAGCTCCAAGCGCAAGGCCCTGAGTTCAATCCCCGGTGGGGGGGGGGGGGGAGGGAGAGGGAGAGGGAGAGGGAGAGAGAGAGAGAGGGAGAGAGAGAGAGAACAGCATGCAGCAAGCGTCATCTGCTTGTCTTATCTTGCAGCTCTGTCACCAGTGTAGTCTCCCTAATGTTGAAGCCACAGGCATCCTAAGGATCTCCAGCGTCCCAAAGTAAGGGCGGGCCAGCGTCCTCCTGGCCCAAGGTCTGACCTCCCTGAGCCCCTTGAGTCCTGAAGGAGTGAGTGTGACAGGCCTAGGTCCTGGCCTGGGCCCTCTTGGTGGGGACCGTGGGTGGCAGAGCAGCCCTGACCTCCTGGAGGGAGACTGACCTGGTTTCTGATCTGGGCTTAACGTTCTTGCCTGAATGGCGTAAATACTTACAAAGACTGCGTCACTGCAGTCCAGGTTTCCTTGATAAAATTAGTTCCTCCACCTGCATTCCCTGTGCCGTACTGGGTTTGGGGTTGTGGGAGTGAAGAAAGAGGAGGCCTTCTCCGGAGCTTGTTTCCTGGCCATAGGCCCAGCTGTCCAACACCCCTTCCCAAGCACGCTCTCCCACCTGCCAGGCACAGGCGGGAGCTAGGGACACAGACACCCTGGAGGCAGCTTGGGAACTTGCTTCAACTGGCGGAGGTGGGTTTGCCTCAGCTATGCCTAAGATCCAGATGCAGCCCAGACGTGGCAAATGCTCCGTGAAAATCTGCAGAGCTAAATGGAGGAAGTGGCGAAGTCTGCAGCTGTCCCCCAGGATGGGGGCGCAAACCAGACACCCGGACGTGGGCGGGCAGAGGAATGAGAGCAGACACAGGGCTGGGCGGATGATGCGTGTGGCCCCACACAGCCTTCGAGAGCCAGCAGCGATCAGGTGCCAGCCATGGCTCGCTATGTTGTCCTCTGCAGGCACCATGCCTGGACAACCAGTGCCGCTGACGTCAACGCTGGCCAGGCTTGCCTCTTCTGGAGGCAGAGGCCCTAGGTTTCCTACACCTGGCAGGCACAGGGAGAGGGGTGCTCCCTCTGGGCAGGTGTCCTTCACGCACCCAAAAGGCCAGGCTGTTCACTCTCTGTGTGCTGGATCACTGGTGTATACCACTATGCCAGATCCCTAAATGCCAAAGGCAGCTAAGTTCCAATGAAAACACAGAGGACATCTCCAAAGCAGGCAGGAAGTGTTAACTATTGGCTGTCACAGACTGTTCATGACCATACTCTTCCACTCAAGAGGAAAAAGGACAGCTGACTGGATCAGCCAAAAGGGATTAGGAGCCGCAGGTTCAATCCTGGGCCTGCTGTGCGGGTGGCCCGCCCCTGGGGCATGCTGAGCCAGCAATTGAGTCTAGGCGTGGTGGCACATGACTATAATCCCAGCTCTTGGGAGGCTGTAAACAGGCAGATCACTATGAGTCTGATCTAGTAGTGAGACCTTGAACACCCTATAGAACCGTCCCTAAAAAATACAAACAAAACAAAACAAAACAAAAAAAAACCCCGCAAAGAACCACAAAAACAAAAACAGAAGAAGAAGAAAGAAACGACAGCTGATGACCCTAGGCAGGTGTGGGAGCCCTTGGGGTGGGCCTGCCAGACTGGCAACAGGGAACCTCCGTCTGTGACCACCAGTGTAGCCCCAGCCATACATGCTGAGCCCGAGGATGGCCTGCTCTCAGGCCAGAAACAGACCCATAGACTGTCCTGGTGGGAGATTTCAGCCAACACTCACGGCCTAGATCCAGCCTTCTTTTATTAAATTTCACCAACAACTAAATAGTGTATAGCTAATGCTAGTCCTTTCGGGTGACACAAAGGAACAGAATGCAAACTGACCTTGAGGGAGTTGTTTTGTTTTGTTTCAGTGCTCGGGAGTGAACCCCAGGCCTCACACGTGCTAGGCAAGTGCTCTACCACTGAGCTACGCCCCTAGAACAATAAGAAATGTTTTTAGGACACCTAAAGTGACTTACACTGCACTAATGTCATTGGTGTAAGAGGCGTCCCAGTGCAGTTTAGAGTTCAGGGTGAGATGAATGCCTGAATTTACAGGGGCCCTAGAGCTGGGCAGGCAGAAGAAGCTTAACTAAAGGGGCCTTCATGGAGCTGACCCTTAGGGTGCAGGCAGAGTGCCAGGAAACAGCCAACGCCAGATGCAAACTCAGACGAGTATGGAGGTTGGCAAATTATTGCCTATGAGCCACCTCTGATCTGCCTGAAGTTAAAGACTTTTTTTTTTTTTTTTTTTTGTGGAACCAGGGATTGAACTCAGGCCCTTGCACTTGCCAGGGAAGCATTTATTTTACTGAGCCATCT